GGGGCGGCCGCAGATTTTAGAGCCAGGCGCTGCAGTTGCTCTCCACTGACTGCGTGACCCCAGGGCATGATGGGGAACTTCTTGCTGTCTTCGGATCAAAGAGCTGATTGGCTCTTAGATTTTCTCTAGTGTGACGGTGGGCGACCAAGCTTTGGCTCACTGGGTTAAGAGGGTTGTCTGGTGAGCACAAGGTTGACTGTTCGAGCCTTGGCCTTTGACGAGTCATGTGTCACATGTCAAAGACAGCCCACTGCTCCCCATATATAGGGATGGTCAAATGCAGAGTCAAATGTATCCTTAATTAACAGGATAAATATAGTATAAACAAATTCCAAATTTTCTGTCTAATTGTAATACTTAACGCTAGATTGTTGGCTATTAGTCTCATTTTGTGCAATAACAATAATAATATATAAGGTTATTTATTTAGCATCTGTAAATAAAGATATTTATTGAGAAAGCCTACATCCTACTTGATGTCAACAAGTTCTCAGTCAGAGCACTGAATGTGTCCATCGATTAATGATTGTGAAGCATCACAACACGTATTAAAAGAAAAGCACAATTGTCACTGATGGAAACTTGCAGCGTTGCTTTTCCTCCGTGTGTAGCCTGTTTCTGTAGCTGTGATGTTTGGACTGTTGGTTCAGTTTTTAAATTTCTTAAATTTACGGTTGTATGATTTAGAAATGACGCTATCTTCACATATATTTATTTATATAAATGTTTAAATAAATATGACATCCAAGAACTAAAATATGCCCAATCTTATATCCTCAATTATAATAATAACATAGTTAAATATATGAAAAGACATCCAAACTTAAAGACCAGCAATTTTGGGGTTAAGTGTCTTGCTCAAAGACACATCGACATGCTCCCAGAGGAGCCGGGGATCAAACCGCCGCTCCTCTGATTGAAGGACGGCCCTGCGCTCCACTTAGCCACAGTCGCCCAAGATCAGTTCTAGACTACGGCTGTGTGGAATATAGGTCGGCGTCTAAAACCTTGTTTTCATGATGACATATTGGGTCAGTTTACAAGGACATAACAACCATCCAACAATAAGTGCTATTGAGCCATGCTGGGAACATGACAACAGGCCAACACAGAGCTTTGGTTGGGTTGTTCGTAGTGAATTAGGTTATAGGAGTTATTCTCCAGCTGTGGTCCAGCTGTTCCTCTTTGGTTACTGCCACAGCCTGGAATTGATCTTGACCTCCTTGAACTGATGAGAGATGAACGTTGGGGAAACTGTAAGATCTTCAAGTCATACATCAGTTACCACAATTAAATACAGATTTATGGATCTAAAGACCCTAAAACAGGTAGAACAGCAGCAGCAGCAGTAATCCCAGAATTCCATTTGGAGTGTGGGAAGAGACTCAGTGATGATGTATCTGTGTTTGCATGTGAGATGATGGCCATAGAGTTATTGCGTTACAGTGGGTAGAGGACGTCAGGCCAGAGAGAGAGGTGATTGCATCAGACTCATGTGCAGTGCTAACAAGTTTGACATGTTGCCACTCCAGAAGCAGAGAGGATCTAGTGTTTGAAAACTACAATCATTTTTAAGAATCCATCAAATGCAGATAGCAGTTCATTTAGTGTGGGTCCATGTTGGAGTCGATGGCAATGAGAAGGCAGATAAAGCAGCAAAAAGGTCTTTGAAGAGTGGGAGAAATAACGTTAATGTAAATATAAGTAAGTCAGAAGCTAAAGTGGTGATTAAGGGACAAATCAAAAAGATATGTCAGAACGAATGTAATAAAGGGAGTAAAGGAAGATATCGGTTTAAAATAAACCATTGGTTGGGAGTGCAGGATCTAGTGGACGAACTAGAAAAGATGAGATGATTATGACGAGACTAAGGAACGGCCATACTGGTCTGAACAGTTCCCTCGATGTTATTAGAAAGCATAATAATGGAAAGTGTAAATTTTGTGGAGAAGAAGAAACCGTGGACCATGTTTTATTGTCCTGTCAGAGGTACGAGTCAGAGAGAGAAGTTTTGAAAAAAGGTCTAAGAGAGATTGGAGAGGAAAATATCATTAATGTACTAAAGAAAAGCTTTAGTGACAAATGTTGGAAACTTTTTCTGGAATATTTAGAGTCAACAACGCTAATGAATAGAATTTGAGAAAAGAATTAATTATTAATTATTATTTCTTTTTTCTATTTTAGTATATATTTTTATATACATAGCTTTATTTATTTACACACATATATGTATATGTATGTGTATACATCAACCAAACTAAAAGAAATACAAATATATATGTATTTCTTTTCGGTTGGTTGTGGTATTAGAGTCCTTAGTCCACACTCCAGATTAGTGGGAGGCGGTAATGCACCCGAAAGCTGTTTGCCAACCGCCAAAAAAAGCAAAAGAAAGAAGAAGAAGAAGCAGGCGGCTGAAAACGGTCCGACCTGAACGCAGTTTTTTGTCAACGCCCCTTTCTACGTCCGCCTGCTCTCGGCTGCTTTCCAGGCGAGGCGTAGTTCAACTCGAACGAGCCTATTGAAACACACGCACACACCGACGTCACTCTGTCCGCACACATCACGCACGCTTGTCTGGATGGAATGTGACGCCAAAGCTCCGTGAGTGAAGTCTCGCGGAGTAAAACACCGGCCATGTTTTTCTCCATGTATAGCAGGGCACTTTGTGCTCGGGTAGTACAACCGAGAGTGTTGCGATCACTTTGATAAGCCTACAACTTTTGCCAAGTTTAATTTTATTATCCAAGTATCAAAACTTACTACAAACATGACACAAACGATGTTTGTGTTTACCGCTGCAAAGTTTTTCCGCTGACATCCTTGTCTGGATAGATACTTGTGTCTAAACTGTCGCACAAATGGAAATGGTGCCCAACGAGGAGAACCAGTTCGTACCCAAAGAGGTGAGGTTATGTCGGAGGATCAATCTCTGGGCGTTAGCTGTCAACCTTGTAGACCGTGGTCATTAATAATGGCACAACTTTTGCACCACTTTGGGAGTTTGCGATCTTGTTGTATCATTTTGAGGCTAACTCTCAGCTGCTAACGGTTAGCGGTAACGTTAGCCAAACATGACTTGGACGGCCTATCATGACATGGCTAACCAACGTTGTAGCCAACATCAGCTAACGGCTAGTTTCGCTATGAGTTTGTGAAGGCAGCTAAAGAATTAGCGCAACCATCATTTCGTTACCTAGCTTTCGATTTTGGCTTTCTGATCATTAAAAACATAAGACTCGTTTAATATGTTATCCCCAAAACAAAGACGACATTTGCCGACATTAGATAGCCAACATGCAAGTAACATTAGCTAACAGTCAACGTTAGTAGAATAAAGCTAGCGAATATCGTTAGCTTTGTAAGTCTGGTGAATGACATCTTTGGCTCTAGCTAATCTATTAGCTAGGTGTTTTTGAAGTTGCAAAACCAAATGCAAATAGCTACGTCGCTTGACATGACTGCCAGTACCGATGCAACGTTAACTACTAGTTTATAATAATGTATACCTTTACTTTGATTCAGTCTTGTCCCTGTTTGTGTGGAATATAACTTGTAGCCTCACTGTTAACGTTAGCATAACATTAGCTGGTGGAATGTGCAAGCTAACGCCAATGTTAGCGGATTTGACTTGCTAACGTTACTTATGTAGATGCAGGTGCGTGTAATACAACATTTATTAATTTTGTGTATCTCTACTGTTTGAATACAAGTGTTCGCCCTTTCTATTATGTCGTCCTTAATGAACTTATTGGTCACAATGTTAAGTTACTTAGCCGTTGCTTGTTTGTCCTGCCATGGTTAGCTGCGGTGGTTAGCTACGTGTAACATCCTATTATTCAACGATGCTACTTTGTTGTCACGTTTTCCACACACGTAGAAAATGAATCGGCTGTCGCTTCTGTAAAACACCATTAATGTTTACCAGATGGTAACAGTGCGATTTTAACATAAACATCCAACAGGATAACGTTACTATTGGCCTGGCAGTCATATTCATGTGTTATGTTATTCTCGCGTACATTCTCACATACATCTACAAGTTACCTGGAGTCCCTTTATGGATGTTGTTATATGACTGCATTTACGTCAGCTGCAGGGTCATACGTCATGCATAGGACGTCACTCGTTGAAGTGGCTCGTGGGAAAATTAGATTTGATTATGCACCACTGCACACTCATTTCAGTTTCATAGTAAAAATATAGCCTTTATTCATATACTTATTAATTCATTATTGATTATATCGAGTACAATTCTGCAGTAAAAGTCTTTTTTTTTTTTTTTTAAAAGAATGAGGCTTGAGGTTGTGTGGAGGAAACAGGTTTATTTACTAATCTTTTTTTCAGCAAAGTAGGTATTTCTTAAACATTCAGATTTTCAGCACTTGAAAAAAATCCCGGTATACTGGTAGAAGGAAGTTAAGGTTGTGAAATGTGTAATTTAGTATACAGTAGTATTTCATTATTTAATTTTGTGGTATGCAAATGCATATCTTAGAAATTATTCTATCTGTTGTGTATGCAAGGTTTGGAAACATCGCTTCTGTATGTATACAGTCATTTTACGTAAAAAATGCATATATTTAACTGTCACACAGACTGGTTAAAAGGAATACTCAAAGCAGATAAGTTATAAAACTCCCTTGTTGTCGTCTTGTTTGAAATAGAGGTGAAGCCTGTGTAATGTGCCTGTGGTTACTTGTTTCTTCTCAACCAGATAATAAAATCAGCTGATCATTTATGTGCATCAGCCTATCCTTTTAGTTCTGTAGACATGCTGATAGGACAGGAACATAAAACCGAGTGAAATATCACCTCCAGTACTTTAGCTCTGTTGCTGAAATCGATGGCCAGTTCCATTTAAGAGACTTATGTTGTGGAAGATAACATGATCTCAAGTGTTGGTAATTTAAGCTGCTGTTTTGTGTTGAAAGAGGTTGGCAGCGGCGGTGTGATGCTCTGGGATACCAGAGGTCAACCGGAGCTCTCTGTTGATGCCATGGGCCCAATTAAATGACACACTTGTGAGGAGAGACACACTCACAGATGCAACCCTGTAACATTCAGTGGCTACTGAATGGCTTTGTGTTTAAGAAATATCCTTCCGCCCTGTCATAACAAGAACATCATATCAATCATCTTGGATTTCAGGATGCATCTTGATGCATAAAATATATTCATTGTTAATCATTAATTTTTGCGAGTCCTTTCTCCCATGAGAAAATGGACTTCCCCATTATGCTACACTGTCACATTCTCCTCGCTACAGCTCGTAACGCTGTAATAGCGTTATGTATGAAAAAGTTAAAGAAGGTAAATACTTTTAAATTTGTACGTTATTTTGTTAAGACACAATTAGGAAAAAATACAAAAGAGATTTAGCAGAATATACTCCACTCACAATAAAGTGCTCATTATCATCTCTATTGCCTCATCTGTCTTTTCCACTGATGTCAAAGGCTACTGCGCCTGTCACCACCAAAACCATTTTTTGGATATTGTAGTTAATCCAAATTGGTGGCTGGTTACTTGCCAAAGTGTCAGGTATGGTTGAAAAATGTCCCATCAACAATACATGGTGTTTGAATAAGAGGCTATTGTTCACTTCCTTGCATCTCTGTTCAGTAGCTACTGCTCATGTGCAGTAGCAGTTACATTACATTGTATTTATAGGATTTCATGGTTACTGACCTTTCACAAAAAGTTGTAGCCTGTCATTATTTTTGTGCCATTTAGAATGAGTTACAGCTGTAAAGAAGTACTGCCTGTGCTTTGCAGTACCCGTGGCTTCATGTCAGCACCTTGTGATTATATCCACGGTAAAAATAACCTTTAATCTCATAATACACTTGTGTGTAGTCAGCTGCAGCTACTTTATAGGACCCGTCAGTCACATTTTGCCACGATCACAGACCTCAAAAAGAGGTTGCAGTAACCAGAATGACTTGAATATATTTCCTGTAATCATCACCCGTTTCACCAGCCAAGAGGTTGATTTGCCAGCCAAACAATAACAGGTGTAGGCCTACACGTCTAATTTAGACAGGCATGTCTTACAACTTACTTCATTGTTGTGTTTGTTTGAAGTTGTTTTCCACTCAAACTATCTCCATTATATCATCAGGGTGTGTTTTGGAGTTGCAGACAGAGTCTTTTTGATGAGATCAAGAGGATTTCTCAGGTAGCCTTGCCTTGTGTTTGGTATTGGTGAGAGAGATGATGCACAGTGTTAAATAGATGCATGAAGCAGCACCATGATGACATTCTTCTTCAGGAGTCAGCTTTGCAAACAACAGCTTTATCAAACATAGAATACATGCAATGAAACTGATAAGGAAAACATGTAAATACCCATATCAACACATCCATTCATGACTTGAATTTGATCAATGGTTTATGCAATAGTTGAGTCATTTTAAATACCAAACATTGTTTTATTCATTGTCAATCCCTGAGGATAAGGAAGCTGGCCTGCCATCATCTTCACATGTCAGTACATTAGTGCTTGTTAAGTGAGTTTTTCCTCCAGTTTTTGCCACTTTGGTTTTCAGTCTGCAAATCATTTGAGGCTGAACAACAACGGCACATAAACCAATCAGAAAATAAACGAAAGCGAGTGTTCAGATGATGAAGTGACTTTCTGTGTCTTGAAACAATTTACAAAATTGATGCATGTGTCAGCAATTGCATGGATTTTTTTTTTTTTTTTTTGCAACAGATTGTGGACAGTTTGGGAGAAATTTGATAACCTGGCCATGTTTGTGTGTCGTGTGTTGACAATTTGTAAGCAAAGATCAGTGACTGGGCTTGTTGCTGAGGTTCCAGTGAATGAGATAACTATCAGTCATGAATTGTACGGCCTACTTGATAAGAGGCCTGTCTGTTATGCAAATTCCTATGAAACCTTGAGGAAACAGAAAGATGGACGAGGACACGTGAGCTGCTTTTGCAATGCCGAGAGAGAAGAGATGAGCTCCTTTATGTCACCAAACTGTTTGTTTTATTGTGAAGAATATCATTTTTCTTTCTGTGATTGGCAAGAAAATCCAGCACAGATAATACTGTTCTGTCCTGTTTAGATATCCAGCTGTATCTTCTCCAGAAATGTAACCTAACTTGTACCAAGTAGGTCACATTTGTTCTGAGGCGTGACATGTGACGGTATTGTTCTTTTCTGCACTGGCCTGTTTCTGTTGCACAGCCTTACTAACCAGTTATTCCAACGCTTAACTGTTCACCAGTGAATGGTGCTTAATCACAAAATACAGAATGAGCCAATTCATCACGCTAATGTTTTTCTCCGTCGTTCTTGATTTGCAGATCCAAAATGCAGCTGAGGAGCCCAGAGTGCTGTGCATCATACAGGACATCACCAGTGCAAAGACGATCAATGAGAGGCTGACTCTCAATCTGCCTGCTTCCACCACCCTCTCCAAACTCTATGAAGATGTTGCCCACAAGGCAGGATATGTGAAAGCCACGTTCGACCTGGCCTGGGGAAATACACCGGACATGGTTAGGAAATGTATTACTCAAGACGGTGACTTTTATGGCGATGAGGTGGTTTAACACTTGATCCGTAGGCTTTAGCCTCCGTCTTTATCTTTTTAACCTGTTTTCGTATATTGTAGACCCTTCTGTCTGCTTCAGTAAGTGACAGTGTGGGCTCCATGATAACTCTGATAGCTTGACGGCGTAGCGGCTCGGCTTAAAACAGATGAATTCATTCAGTTTTAAGCTACTGTTTTGGTTGGTGTAGTTGAGTTCAGGTTAAGTATAGCACAAGTGAACTCTAGTGAGATTCACAGTATGGCTGCCAGCCTGTGTTCGCAGTTGCTGTTCACTCATCCTCCACTTAAAATAAGTTCATGTGACGACTCATTGCCCCGGCCACTTCCACATTGGGAGGGCTATGTCACCATACCATGACCTCAGTCAAGCCGATAGTGGTGGAGATTTGTTTAAAAGCCAGACTGACATTTCTTAATCATGCTTTCAGTGTTCAAACATCCGTTTGTCATACCATTGTTCTCTGCTACAAAGAAAACAAAGTGTGTAAGAATGGTGCTGCTGAGAGAGAGCACTCTCAAATGAAGGATATGAAGTTATTGGAAAGGTTTTAATCACACGAGTTGGAAGCAATCGTGTGTGTGTGTGTGTGTGTGTGTGTGTGTGTGTGTGTGTGTGTGTGTGTGTGTGTGTGTGTGTGTGTGTGTGTGTGTGTGTGTGTGTGAGAACGGGATGGAGAGAATCTCGTTATTTTCCTATCTTCCTGTGTAAAGCCCTTCTAATTCCACATCACCTTCAACACTGCATGACCGCTCAAGGTGATGGAACAGGACAGGCCCGGAGTCCAAATTGACGCTCACACACAC